TTGCTAAAGTCCAAGAAAATGACATCCACCTCTACTCCTGCATCTAAGCATTTTGTTTACCAGGGACCGACACTGGGATCTGGGCAGGCTGCTGTGGCTGACTCAGGGACATTGGTGTGAGACCCACTGGTGAGAGGCTAGCTGCAGGTGGCCCAGGGCCCCAGAGTCATCGTAGCATTTTAAGGGTCAGGTTGCGGCAGGAAAAAAACCACCCAAGCTCTGGGGCTGGAGAAGATTCAAGCCCCATGGCTCTCGGACTAGCCCAAGGGTGGCCCCCTGATGGTGGGGCTGACCAGGAGCAAATTTGCTCTTGGTTTGTATCTACACATGCGCAACTGCACAGTAACTACAGCATAGTTATTTTGCTATCTGCATTTACAGGTAGCAAATTAACCACAGAGTAAACTAATTGTACAATAAGTGTCTGCATGTACAGATGATGACAATTTACTGCAGTCAGTAAGTCTACTGCAGAGTAAAACATCTCATGTAGATGCACCCTCTGACTTGAAGATGAGATCTGAAAGGACTGTGCAAATAAATTTGAAACAGACAAAATCATAAGTACACCTTTCGCAAAGTGGTTTAATATCAATGGAAAAATGCTTATTGAGAAAGGTTAAAAGTAATAATAAAATAAATGACAATAATTTGCACTTTTGCTCTTTCAATGTGAATGCATAGATTATTGACCATAGATTGAGTCATAGATTTATAGATTCATAGATGGTTAGGGGCTGGAAGGAACCTTGTAGATCATTGGGTCCAGCCCCCCCTGCACTAGGCAGGAAAAGAAAACTGGGGTCAAGAGACCCCAGTAAGGTGACTGTTCAGTCTCCTTTTGAAGATTTTCAGGGTAGGTGAGTGCACCACCACTGGAGGAAGCTTATTTCACAGTCTGGACACCATGACTACAAAGGAGTTTTTCCTGGAATTGAGCCTGAAGCGGCCTTCCAGGAGTTTGTATCCATTGCTCCTGGTTTTCCCCAGGGGTGCCATGGTGAACAGCTGTTCACCGAGTTCTTGATGTACTCCTCTGATATAGTGGTAAGCCACTACCAAGGCCCCTCAGCCTTCTCTTCTGTAGGCTGAAGACGCCCAAGCATAGGCGACTGGTAGGGGATGCACGGGGGTGCACATACCCCCCCGACAGTGCTGGTGGCCCCCCGATGGCTGACACTGATGTTGTCAGCGGGGCTGGTGCCCCCCTAACAGAGCCGCCACCATCGGCAGGTAACACCCAGATTCAGGAGGCACCGGTCACTCATGGGCCCAAGTCCCTCAGCCTCTCCTTGTATGGCTTGATTTGCAAGTCCCTGCTCTTCTCTGGACACTCTCAAGTTTTTCCATGTCCTTGTTGAAATGTGGCACCAGAACTGGATGCAGTATCCAGCTGTGGTCTCACCAGTGCAAAGTACAGTGGGACTATCACTTCCTTAGTTTTGCATGAGATGCAATGGTTAATGCATGCTAGTGTGTTGCTTGCCCTGCTGGCCACAGCATTGCACTGCCAGCTCATGTTCATGGGATGGTCAATCGCTACCCCTAGGTCCCTTTTGGCCATGGTGCAAGTCAATTGTCACCACCGAGCCTGTAGGTATGTTGGGGATTGTTTGCCCTCATTTGGAGCACCTTACACTTCTGAGTGTTGAACTTCATCTGGCTCTGGTCCACCCAGCTCTCCAGCCTGTCCAGGTCCACCTGTATCTGCAACCAATCTTCTGGCGTGACAACACTCCCCCATAACTTGGTGTCATCCACAAACTTGGCCAGAAAGCTTTTCACCCCCACATCCAAATCACTGGACACTTCTTGCCAAGAAGACACAGATCCATTCATGAGAACTCTCTGGGACTTACCGTGTGCCATGCAGCCAGTTTTCCACCCACTGAACTGTTGAGCAGTTAAGCCCACAATCTTCCAACTTTTCCACAAGGATATTGTGGGATAATAGATCAAAAGCCTTTTGGAAGTCTAGGTATATAATGTCGACCTTCTCTCCTGTGTCCAGGTGGTAAGAAACCTGTTCATAGAAGGAGATGAGATTGGTAAGACAAGACATACCCATGACGAAGCCACGGGATTCTGTTGTTCAGAATCTTACCCACAACGAGCGTATTGCACATAGATTCTTTAATGAGTTTTTCCAGGATTTTCACTGGGATGGAGGTTAGGCTGACTGGCCTATAATTGCCTGGGTCCTCCCTCTTCCCCTTCTTGAAGATAGGCACAATCCCAATCCTCAGGGATCTCCCGTGTGCCACGATTTCTGAAAGAGTTTTGCCAGGGGTTCTGCAATGACCTCAGCCAGCTCCATCAGCATTCTCGGGTGAAGTCCATTTCGTCCTGCTGACTTATAAATGTCTAGCTTTTCTAGTTGGTTTTGCACCAGCTCAGCATCCACAGCGGGAGGACTATCATTCCCACCGTGCCCCCTGTGATCCTTATCTCACTTGTCTTTCCCCTTGGCCCGGTGAAATACCAAAGCAAAGTGGGCATTCAGGAGTTCATTTTTTTCAGATCATGCACCTGAGGTACAAATGACCTTGGGTATCAGTGACAGAGTCTAGATACCCCAATATCCTGCTTTCTCAAGTACATAGACATGTTCCAGTAATATTGTATTATTTGTTTGATTCATCAACGTAAACAGAGACAGCATATTATATAAATTAGTTGAGGAATGTGATGTGTCTTGTGGAATGAGACTATGTGGTTTACATAATGTACATGTACACAATTACACATACTATTTTTCAGGTACTGTACCTGGAGCCTTCTGCTAAATTTTTATTTTGTAAAGGCAGATGTTTCTCAAAATGCTGCCAGACATTTTACAAATATGGACAAACAAAACTCGAAGGACAAGCCCAACAAACCCATACGTTAATTTATCATTTAGTCATTAGCTATGGAAACCTATAACTATGCTAACAGAAAATAACTATAGATCATCTGCTGGTGAAGTCAGTCTGTTCTTCTTTGTATCTTGGCACTTCTTATTGGCTGCTGGAGCTGTGGACTGGTAAAGGGCATTTAAATAGCTTTGTCATGACAACAAAATATTTTGAAATGAGTTGACTCTTTATCCCTCCCTCAACAGCATTAGAACATGCTTACATAACCATCTCAAAAATACAGTTATCTACAAAACCCCATCCAGAATACAAATATGTTTATCCAGTCCTCTAATGGAAAATAAGCTTAATGATGCCTCAAAGAAGAAAAAGTTTAAAAAGGCTATAATCATTGAAACATCCCTTCCTTTCAGGACAATAAAAGTCGTTAGAAAACATGCCTAAAAACACTGAAGGAACACACCGGTCCAGATAGCTCTGAAAAAATAGTATGTTAACAAACCACTCTATCAATGGCCTTATAAATTTTTTCCCCACACTAATACAGAGATCAAAAAATCATTAAGCTTCACTAAACAGCTTCCCTGATTTTGTCCTCTATTTTTTCTTCTCTTTTTACAAGATGTGATAAGGTTCTATTTCAGTCGGACTCCTGTTTAACACATATATGAGGCAACTGGGAGGGTTATTAAAGGAGACTGAATAAAATATTACTGCAGTATTTCTCATCCTTTTCCCAACCATGATGCCGTATTATCCTAAACTATTCTGGTGCCTCTCCCACAAGCCTGAAAGAAAGGGAGAGTAGTTGCGAGGTCTACCACCTGTTTGACACCACCGAATTCAGAAGCAGTACTGGGTCAACTGATCCCACGGATATGGAGGAACACAGGGATGTGGAGACTGATTCTAGAGACGGCTGACTAGACAAGGGTTTCAACTTACAATCGTAACCACAGCAGTAAAATTAAATTAAATTAAATTGCAGTGTGTAGACAAGCCCTCAAGCTCAAATAAGATAAAATGCTAACACTGTTGGTAGATTAGGCAGCATTTCGCAACCCATCGGTCACGACCCAAAAGTAGATTGCAAACAAACTTTAAAAATGGATTCTCCTTTAAAGGAGAAAAGCATGGGAAACCATGGCTTTTCCTTTGCAGGCTGGCAGAGTTCCTGCAAGGGGCTGCCCCGTACCCCACACACCCTCTCCTGGCCCACACACTGGGCGACTGGGGGCAGTGGTAAGGAGTGAGGGGCACCGGGTTGGGACTGGCCATTGTATTTACAAGTGGGTCCTGGTACAAAAAAGGTTAAGAACCACTGGGTTTGGGGAAGAACTAAGCATAATCATATAATGTCTAATGAGGGTCCCATTGCCCGAGTGCAGGGTTGTTGGTTGTAGCCCTGTTGGTCTAAGGTTATAGGCAGACCAGGATCTTTAGGTAAATGTGGTATCGCTCATTAGATCAACTGATCTGGGTCTCACACGTTCCCCTCATGCCTTTGTGAGGTTCTGACTTGCCCTTGTGCCCTTTTCACAGTTGGGAGGAATCGAGGCACACTACGCTACTCGTCCCGGGTTGAACAAAGACACTAAACATGAGTCTTGTCTCATGCTCCAAGGAGGGGTTTCTGTCTGGCAAGTCACTGACGACTCGCCCACCTGCCTCAGGGAGGCTGCAGCCCGCTACGGGCGCTGCCGAGTCAGGTACCCAGGCCGGCCGCACGCCCCGGGCAGACAGGAGGCCTCCGCAACGCGCGCCTACGAGATGAGCGGGACCGCAGTGGCCGGCGAAGGGGGCGGGGCTCGGGAGCGCATTGGCTGCACGCGCCCGCGCCCCGCGGCTAAAGCCCGCTCCACAAACCTCTGCAACCGCCCAGCTTCCCAACGGCCTGCAGCCCGGGCCAGCTAATCACCGCGCAGCCGGGGCGCACTCGCAGTAGCGCCGAGTCTCCAGGACCACCCCTCCACCACCACCAGCGAGAGCTCTACGTCCCGCCCCCAACCGGCACATCCTGACGTCACCCGCCTCACTTACCGCAGAGGCCTGTGAGTGGGGCGCGCGGCACACGCGGTTGCCGTGGCCGCGCTGCCCGCGATTGGCTGGCGCCGCCCGCCAATGGGCGTTGAGCAGCTGGATTCAAACCGGGTCGGGCGCGAGGGCAGGCAGTTAGTCGGCGAGTGTCGCGCGTGAGGGGAGTCGGAGCTGCGTCTGCGCCGCCGCCTTCGCTATGGCCCACAAGCAGATCTACTACTCGGACAAGTACTTCGACGAGCAGTACGAGTACCGGTGCGAGCCTGGGCCATCCCCGCTTCCTTGCGCGGGCCCCCCACTGCTGAGGGGGTGCCTTCCCGGGAGGGGCGGCCAGGGCGCGGCTGCAGCGGGATGGAACAACGGGCCCGGGCGGAGGGGGCTGACGGGGAGGAGGTGCCTGGCTTCGCGACGGCCGGGGGAATTGCTTGCTCACCTCTTGCCCGAAGGGAAAGCAGCAGTTTGGGGCTGGGGGGCGGGAGGGGCAGGAGCTGCCCCCGCTGTGCGGGAGCATGAAGAGAGCTGCTGCCGAGCCACCCCCCCCGGTGCCTGGGCCCTGACTCGGGCTTGAGCCCTCAGCACAACTCCTGAGCCAGTCTAGTTTCCTCTCCAGGAAGCCCTTGCTTCGGGGTTCAAGCCAGAGCACCTGCCCTGGAAAGCTGTGCCTGCCATGTGGTCCCTGTCAGGGTAGCTAGAGCCGTAAGGTTTTTATTTCATGGTGGGTGGGGGGTATTTTTTTTTTAACTTCAAGGTCTGTTGTAAGTCTTAACTCCCATGGGGGAAGCCCTGCACAGGGGTCATAAGGAGCCATCAAGATGGGGCACCACTTGTGTTACCCTGCACAGATAAAGCTGTGGGCTAGTCCTGCCAGCAAGACTGTTGCTTAGGTAGCTTTATCTTAATTATGTTTAAAGAGATTAGGCAAAACTTCAGTCTGTTGGAACAGTGGTTCTCACCCTGTTTTGTACCAGGACCCATTTATGAACATGGCTGGCCAGGCCCAACCCAGTGCCCCTCGCTTCTGACCCCCTGCCTCCAGGCCCCACCCCCTAGTGTGTGAAGAAGGGGGGGCCCTAAGCAGCCTCTCACAGGAACTCTGCCAATCTGCAAGGGAAAAGAGACAGTTTCCCAAGTTCTTGTTCTATAAAGAGAATCCATTTGAAAAATTTGTTTGTGACCCTCATATATATTCTTGTGACCCAATTCTGGCCCGAGAGCTGTGGGTTGAGAAACACAGTGTTAGAATACCTTTCATCCCCTCACCCCAAGGGTAAGCTGCCTTCACAACACTGGGCTGTGGTTGTACTTGAAGTGAGATGGTGTGTGCTGAATCTCTCCTATTCCCTGATCACAGTGTGGCTTAAGAGTTCCTATTTCCTGGCTGTGCTTCTGTAACACAAGATCTTGATGTTGCCAAAACATACTTCAAAGGATTTTGTGCAAGTCTGGTGGGTTTTTAATCCCAATGAATCAACTCTATATTTGGAAGACATATGAGATACTTTCGGGCACAAAGTGTTCTTCCCCCTCTCCCCCAATTTTGTGCTTGGATCAGCTCTAGATAGAAGACTGAGGAGACAAACTTTCAAGTAGAAAAATTACACACATTTCTTGTTTTATTTCCTGAACCCTCACTGTTGCAACACTCCACCCCTATTATGTGATTGTCAGAGGAAGCCATCCATGGGAGTGTTAAGTCTTCTGAGTTAGCAGTTGGCTGAATTTCTTGTCATACAAGTTTTTCCGCTTGAGTTACTAAATGCCCTGTTAGATATTAGTAATGTCTAATAGGGCATTTAGTAATGACACTACAGTGCTTTGTAGATCAATGAAGTGTCCTAGTCTTGAGAGAGTGCTGATGATCTGCATATAAGTAAACAGTAACCAAAGGTCAAACTTTGATCATTGGCAAATAAATTGCAGGCACTGTTATTAACTTTGTCAGGTAGCATAAGTGTTGCTTTTATACTCCTTCCCCTCTGTTTTCCTTATTTCGTTAGATAATGTGACAATTAATTCTGGGAAGCATTCTGTTCTAAATAGTCTGAAAGACATGGGAGTAAATGTCTGACATGTATTTCAATGAGGGCACTGTAGCAGAAACCTTGCAAGACAAGGAATGCACAATACTTGGGGGTGCACCAACAGATTTTGGGGGCCAATACTGAGAGCCGATTTTTTTAAGGAGGCATGTCAACTGATACTAATCCAATTTCCGATTACAGCTGCGTGCAGCTGGTAAGTCTGTGGTGGAAGGGAACGGGTGTAGAGGATGGAGTGCAGATAAAGACCCTTGCAGTGAAGGATGGAATGGGGCTGGCGCTGCCCTGGCGGAGCATAGTACGGGGCCATGGCTTGTCCAGGGGGTGCAGAGTGGGGGGTGGCTCCCACTGCTGTACACACCCCAGGAGGGCATTGGGGGAGGGGAGGGTGCATGTTCCCCCAGATCTGTATAGGGCAGGGCTGGGGTCGGGGCTGCATGGGGCTCTGCAGCAGGGGCTTGGGCTGAGTGGCTGTGGGAGCCTCCCCTTCCACCACAGCAGACTTACCAGCTTTTTAAGCTGCCAAGCTATGCTCCTTGCTGCCTGCATACCGCACTGTGGCTGTACACATGCACGGGCATTTATTGGCCACATCGGGGCAATTTCCGATGCGATCAATTTTCTTTATATCGGTGCTGAGCCGATATTGGACAGATATCAGTGCACCTCTAATACTTAGCAGAATTGTTCTAAACTTGTACAAAATCTAGCTTTCAGTTCTTTCATATGAATTGATATGGGCAAAAGGGTTTGTGTATGGGTTCTTAATTGGTTGAAGTTCATGCTGGTCTTGGTACCTGGCAAACTCAGATCTCTGCTTAAAGAGTGCGTCTGAGGGATAGCAGTATAGTTTTAGTCAGCAGGCTCCTAGGGTAATCAACAAAACTGATGATGATGTCTCCAACAGACATGTTATGTTGCCCAGAGAACTTTCAAAGCAAGTACCAAAAACGCATCTGATGACTGAAGAGGAATGGAGAAGACTTGGTGTCCAGCAAAGTCTTGGGTGGGTTCACTACATGATCCATGAGCCAGGTAAATAAAGAATTTTGTAGCTGCAAATATAACTGGTCTAGAAAGTAACAGACTCAACAAGTTCTTTTAGTCTTGAAGAATACATTCTGAAATATGCTTACTTATGTATCCCCCCCCCCCCCAAAAAAAAGAGAAGGAATTTGGAGAACTTTTCCTATTGGTTTACACTTGATAGCACTTAGATCAGTGCTTCTCACTCAACCTTTTTTTGTACCAGGACCCATCTATAAACATCAGTGGCCAGTCTTGACCCAGAAAGTAGTTTAAGTAAAAAAAACAGCCCTCTGGCCTCTCACTCCCAACCTACAGTCCTGTTGTGTGGGTGGGGGGGGACAACAACAACACACACCCAGTGTGTGAGGGTGGGGGGGTACATGGGTAAGGCCCCACCCCCCCACTGATTTGAGTGCCTACAAGGCATGGGGCTACAGCCTGGCTGGACCAGCATGGACAGGAGCCACTTCTGGCTCAGTGGGTGAATCCCAGCATGGGAGGATGGAGAGGGGCCTGGCCACTGCCATGAACACTTTGCCAGTTGTGGTGCCAGCAGCATGAGGACTAATGGGTGGTGGGGTTGGCCATGCTACCCTTGCTTCCTCCTGCCACCAGCTGCATGTGCTGGGCCATAGCTCTATCCCACATCATGGCCTGGCTGGCTGCTGCCACTCCTTTCAGGCTGCAGCTCTACCCCAGAGGGATGACAGGTGGTAAGCGGCACAGACAGCCTGAGGGGACTGGTGGCGGTGGCAGCTGGGTAGAGCCATGGCCCAGTGCACAAGCAGTGGTGATGGGAGGAGGCGAGAGCAGCCCCCTACCCCACTGTTCCTTGTGCAGCTAGTGCCATGGCTAGCACATGGTTCATGACCATGACAGCAGTGAGTCTTGCTGCCCTGCTCCACCCTCCTGTGCTGGGACCTACCTGCACAGAAGTGGCTCCTGCCTTTGCTAGCCCAGCCAGGCTGCAGCCCCATACCTGCTGTGGGTATGCAAATCTGAGGGGACATGTGTGCCCCCTATCTGGTGAATCATTTGTGGGCCCTACCCTCCATAGACTTACCTGTGGGGAGCTACAGCTGTTCTCCACCCTGCCTGACTGCCATATGCAGGTGGCACCCCCTGCCTGATTGCCTTCCTCCCATTCTGCCCAGCCCTAAGAAGCCCCTTGTAGGTTGGAACTCTGCCAGCCTGCAAAAGGAAACCTGCACTTTCCCACATTTTTCTGTGATTGTTCATGACCTTTTCAGATATTCTTGCAACCCACTTTTAAGTTGACCCATGTGTTGAGAAATGCTGGTTTAGATGACTCCAGTGATAAGCAACTGTCTTGTTAACCTTACCCCTCTATACTGTAGAGGGGAGTCTATAGGTACACCTTTGTATCCACAAGAGAAGCTTCAAGCAGGCATAAGGACGGACCTGACACTTGCAGTACTCTAGCCCTAAGGTGGTCTTAAAAGGAATGAAGCAAGTTGGTGGGTTTTTTGCTCAAGGATTGTTTTTGAATTTCTTTAATCTCTTCTGGAGGCTAACAAATCCTCTGAATCCTTCAAGTATAATTGCTCAGTTGCTCATTGTCCCTGGCTCTTATCAGTAGGCATCATGCATACCTTGTTTGAAACTGTTGTTTTAAAATGTGGATTTGTAGAATCAATAGCTTGTCAGATTACTCTGGTCTAACTCTTGAAAGTATAGACACAACAGTTCTACAGGGGGGGTAGTTATCTGCACCTGAAGTCATGTACAAGGCAGGGCAGAATGGTGCCTCTTGTACACTTGATTTGGAGGGGCATGAGCTTTCATAAGCCTTTCTTAAGATGCTATGAATATGCCTTACTGAGTAGGATTGCTTCTAACAAATTGGTACTGGAAGTTAAACCCTGAACAGACGTTTATGCAGTTAACATTTTAGATCGGGGGTGGGCCAAATGCAGCCCGGGGGCCAGATGCAACTCACCAGGCCATTCTATCCAGTCCGTGGGGCACCTAAAAAATTTAGAAAATTAATATTTATCTGCCCTGGGCTGCCTGTCATGTGGCCCTCTGCCCAAAATAATTGCCCATTCCTGCTTTAGATTATCTATGTACAAATGTCCAGAGTCCAGACCTTTATTTTTGGTTCTTGTTACAGTGGTATCGATAATACTGTCATGAACTGAATTTTAAAGGCAGGGATGAACTGCAGGTGATTTTTGTGGCGGTAGGAGAAACTTGAATCTCTTATTACATCTTAAAAGAATTGCTTAACTTTTCTCTATTAAGTTGGGTGCAGTATGGAAATCCTTGAAAACATCACTTGGCTAACATACTGAGACTACAAATATGCCTCTTAACTTTTTAGGAGGTCTGATCAAGTAAACTAGTATACATGCTAATTTGCAATTGGTGCAGCCCACTTCTGTTGATCTTTTATTTACCGGATTTGCCTTATTTAAGATTACCTTGTCCCATCACATTTTTCTATACATGAGAAGATAATTTAAAAAATTTTCCATATATAAAATCTAATTTATTAGAAGGTTGTCTTAAGTTTCTTCCCATCACTGCTGCAGTTGGGAAAGCTCTCTATTTCCTGCCCCTCTACAGCTGCTAAGTAGTAGGGGGGCACCGTAGGCTGTGGCCCTGGCCCCAGAGCATGGAGCGAACCTGGCATGTGATGTATAATGGTGCCTGTGCTGGATCACTCCCACTACCCACTTCATGCCCTGGATTGGCCCAGTGTGCTGTGTGGAGGGCATCCCTGGAGATTTAGAATGCCAAGTGATATAAGCATCACTGTTACTAAACAAAAAGAACTGATCAGTTCTTTAGCTTTGTCTCAAGTACCAATTTTAGAGGTCAGGTCTATACCAAGAATTAGAGAGCTTTACTGTACTAACAAATCCATGTTGAAGCTGTGTGGTGCTGCTGTAAAAAAACAAACAAAAAACCCACAAAAACAAAAAAACTTTCCAATATCGTATGGATGTGTTTATATTGGTATAGGCCATCTCAGCAAAAAATGTTTTTCTAATAAGCCGCATCCACAGAAGAGTTTGCTAGCATGGCAACGGCCAGGCAGTTTATATCTGTGTAGAACTAGATCTTTGCAAATACCATATTTACTTGGATCCAAGACAAAGGTGTACCCCCCC